GCCTTAACCGGGTATTAACTCACATTCACTGTGCCATGTGTCTTTTCTGGTTATTATAAAACTAAAGTTTTCAGCAACCATTTGTAGCAGTGCTCATATTGCAATTTTTTGCTGTAATCATTCATGTTTTTACCAGAGCTCATATTGCAACTTTTGTCGTTATTATCGCTTTTCTCTGGCACTCCTTTATTACTGGTTCCCATATCGTATTCATTTCTATTCTTGGTCGGCTGAGGAGATTTTTGTGACCTAGCATATGTGTTGATTTTTTAAGTTTACGAATTTTCCAATAGTGTTCCTTGTCTATTATCTCAACCTGATTCCACAGTGGGCGACGATCTCCTTTCTCTCCCCATATGTGGTCAGCCACGCCTGATTTTTCCACTTCCCCCCGTGTTACAGCTTTGTGGTGTTCTTGAAGCCTTACCTTAAGGGGGCGGCCTGTCTCCCCTTTATATTTCTTTCTTCATCCGAACGGGATAGCGTACACACAGTCTTTAGTCATGTTCTCCTCTATAGATCGAATAATGTAAATAATGTACATAATACTGTTATGGGGTCCTCCCCTTTTTCATGTAAGTGGACTCGACCATAGTGTTACTTGGACTGCTGCCGTTAAATACCCAGAGTCAGTCAGAATATACGGAGAGATTGTGATTGAGTTGGAGGTAGAGTAATAGTGTGAGGTAACCGCTTGTAGAAGTCACAGCTACAAGCACGTAGACTCTAAGGAAGTCCTACTTGAGACTATATATATATATATATATATATATATATATATATATATATATATATATATATATATATTATTATTATTATTATTATTGCGACTAACCGCGTTCCTGGATTTACTAACAATATACACATTGTATTATTGTGTAAATACATTTAATTTCTTATCTTTATTTCTTGCGTTTGTGATTCATTCGAGACCGAATTTCATTTCGGAATCCACAACAAACTGGCGACGAAGGTTCGAACTCACGCGGAAAAGAAAAGATACTCACGCGGAAAAGAAAAGATCAACAAAAGAAAAGTCTTCCTTCGTCGTCCAACAAGCAAATTAGCACACACACGGGACAAAAAAAAAAAAACAAAAAAAAACAACAAATTCGCGCCGAGCGATTCGAACTCGCACAAGAAGAAATAGAAAAATCTGTCCCTCGTCCACAACAAATTACCGACAAACAGATACGAGGAGTAAAAATACGTAAAATTGAGTTATCACGGAAGATTTTAAAAATATCTTTGTAGAACTGATAAAATACCAAAATGATCAACAATTACAACTACAAGAACGAATGGAAGAAAAATAGCAAAAAGCAGTTATTACAAACGCAAAAAGAAAATTAAGAAAGACAAACAGAGCACCAGGAACTAATATTGAAAGTAGCGGGTAACAAGCAATTAGATATTGAAAAAGAAACACCATTTTCGCAAGACGCAGTGTGGAATACCATAGAGATTTTCAAATATTCTCTAGATGAGGACACAAATTTTGGAGATTACTTCAGAAGACATGAAGACATCTTTAACATAGACTGTCAAAATTGGACAGAAGCAAAAAAGCTACGTCTATTGCTTAGAAAATTAGGAACTGAAGAATATACAAAGTTCGTGGATTATATATTGCCAAAAAAGACGAGCTAATTAACATTTGACGAAGCAGTGAGATGTCTTAAAGAACTCTTCAGCCCGGAAACATCTGTCTTCCACAGGAGGTTGAAATGCCTTAACCTGGTAAAGGGAGATAATGAGGATTATTCCATGTTTGCCGCAATCGTAAATAAACATTGTGACGACTTCAAACTAGCGGAATTAACCCCGGAAAATTTCAAATGTCTCATCTTTGTTCAAGGGTTAGTTTCTACAAAAGGTAGCGAAATGCGCAGAAGAATGCTTGCAAAATTACAAAATGAACCGGGTCTAACATTACAGCAATTATCGGAAGATTGTCAGAGATGTTTAAGTATAAAGAAAGATGCAAGGGTCATTGAGGAATCAGCTGTTTCTCATATACATAAGTTAAACAAAAGTCTACATTCTTCACCCTCCCCGAAAAGAAAACTAAAATTTTACGACAATGAAAAAAAGATTCTCACCCTCCCCGGAAAGAAAAAGAAAATATTATAATAAGAGGAAAAGTACAACATACAGGACAAATTATGATGAATATCGGAACAAATATAAGTCCCCATCCATCAGCATGTTATCGATGTGGAGGACTACATTGGAACAAGGATTGCCGCTTCAGATGTAAAAACTGTCTTGAATGTGGAAAAAAGGGCCACAAGGCATCCCAATGTAGAAATAGAAAAGATACTAATAGAATAAGAGTCACAAGGATGCATAACGATGACAACACCAACGTAAGGAAATATGTGGAACTGGAAATTTTAAATAATAAGATTAAATTACAACTGGATTCGGGTTCCGACCTCACGATAATCAACTTACAGACATGGAAAAAAAACTCAACAGACTTACCATGTTACACACATAAAAAATTGCCAAGTCGGTTACAGGCAAACGAATATTATTTGAGGGAGAAATAATTGTGGGTGTTAAATTTCATGGCAAAACAAAAAAACTTAAGATATACGTCATAAAAGATACTAAAAATCTAGTAGGTATCGACTGGATGCAGAAATTCAACGTTTGGGACCTACCTATCAACTCTTTTTGCAAAAAGTTAGTGGTTGAACCATCAGATACTATAAAATTGAAGGAGGAATTATATAATCAATTTCCTGAGGTATTTTCAAGCGGGTTGGGACGATGCAACAAATTTGAGGTCAAAATAGAATTAAAAGAAAACGTCCAACCAATTTTTAAAAAGAAGCGAAATGCACCGTTCGCTACTATAGAAAAAATAGACAAAGAATTGGAGAGACTTGAACAAACTGGGATTCTATCAAAAACAGAATTTAGTGAGTGGGCAGCGCCGGTGGTTAATGTAAAAAAGAAGTCAGGAGAAATCCGCGTAGACGCAGATTTTTCGACGGGACTCAACAAGGCGACAAAAGACCACCATTACCCACTAGCCCAGAAGAAATATGTGCAAAGCTCAACGGCGGTAAGATATTTTCAAAAATAGATCTTAGTGAGGCTTATCTACAAATTCCAATACAAGAAGAGAGTACGAAAATCCTTTGCATTAATACGCACAAAGGGTTGTACAAATTCAACAGCAAACGATGGACACAAGGCTTACGGGCCAGAATTTCGCGACCGCTTATCCGGATGATATTCTAATTAAGAGCCACAATGTTGAAGAGCGCACATCACACATAAAGGAAGTTTTCAGAAGACTTCAGGACTTTGGGTTCAAAGTAAAAGGAGAAAAGTGTGATTTTTTTCCTAAATGAAATTAAATATTTAGGTCAGATAATAAATGAAAATGGCAGGAAGACACAGAAATGAGAAGGTCAAACAGGAAGAGAAAATTTGTCGAGCTCCTGATTATCAACCATAAGAGACAAAAATACTAACTCCCCCCAAAAAAGGGATCTAAGGAGGGGGGTGTTATGGGATCCACCCCTTTTTCATATAAGTGTACTCGACCAGAGTGTTACTTGGACTGCTGCCGTTAAATACTCAGTCAGAATATACGGAGAGATTGGGAGAGTGAGCAGAGATTGTGATTGAGTTGGAGGTAGAGTAATAGTGTGAGGTAACCGCTTGAAGAAGTCAGTTACAAGCACGTAGACTCTAAGGAAGTCCTACTTCGAGACTATACTATATATATATATATATATATATATATATATATATATATATATATATATATTATTATTATTATTGTGACTAATCGCGTTCTTGGATTTACTAACAGTATTACCCCATTGTATTATTGTGTAAATACATTTAATTTCTTATCTTTATTTCTTGCGTTTGTCATTCATTGGAGACCGAATTTCATCTCGGAATCCACAACAAATACCTCATCTCAGAAATATAGACAGATAAGAACACCTATGTTGGTACTGTCAACACAGGCACTTCTGAGTTGATAATGCCAACATACGTTTTCTTATTGGATGAAATAGCTATTTGAATGAGGTAAATTTGGATTTCCATTCCATGTAATTCTATTCTATATATATATATATATATATATATATATATATATATATATATATATATATAATGAAAATGGCGAAAAAGTAGAGGAAAGGACAGAAGAAAATATAAAACGGAAAAATAAAATATGGAAAAGAAATGGACAAAATAGATGATGTAAACAACGTTTGGCATTTTTCAGTGCAACATGTCTCTGGTGAGAAAAAAAAAAGAAACTGATATTACTATTTTCTTTTCTTTCTGTCTGCTTTCTTTCGTCTTATTCATGTTCCATCTTTTTTGTTTCTGTCTGACTTCTCTCTTCATTTCTTCCCTTTTTAAAATTTGTTTTCTTTTTTCTTTTCTTTTTTTCGACCTTATTCTTTCCCAATACTTTCTCTTTATTACATTTTTCACTTCTTATTTGTTTTCTTTCTTTTTTTAAATTTCCTTCTACATTCTTTTGCCTTTCAATATATTATTTTAGATGATCTTATTTCCATTTTTCTTCTTCTTCGTGACTTCCTGTCGCTCTTTTTCCCCTTCTTTTCGTCGTGTTTTTTTCTTTCTTTCTTCTCGTTTTTCATTTCTTTCTGGCTTCCCGCTTCCCCTCTGTGTGCTTCTCTTTCTTTTCGTTTGATTTCTATCTGATATATTTTATTTCTTTCCACTCCAATATGAATTTCTTCTTTTATTTATCTGTCTCATTTTCTTCCTTTTATCTCTCTTGTTATTCACTCCTTCATATTTTTCTATTTTTGATTTCTTCTTTTCCCCCTCCGTCAAAAGTTCAAAAAGCTAGAGAAGTTGAAAAATATGAAGAAAAAAAATCAAGAGAGAAAAAAAAATGAAAGAAAATGCGACAGGTAAAAAAAGGTGAAATTCAGATTGATGAGGAAAGAAAGAAAATAGACAGAAATCAAACGAAAACAAAGGGATTAAAAAGAAAAAAATATGCAGGAAGACTGAAAAAGAAAACAAAATAATTTCAGAAAGAATGAGGAAGAGAAAACAAGACGAAAAGAAAGAAAGAAAGAAAGAAAGAAAAGAAAGAGATGAAAACAAGGAAGAAAACATGACAAAAAAAAAGGAAGAAGAAACAAGACGAAAAAAGCAAGAAAAAAACGTGATGAAAAGAAAGGAAGGAAAAACAAGTCGATAAAAGGAAGAAAAAACAAAACGAAAAAAGGAAGAAAAAACGAGACGAAAAGAAAAGAAGAAGAAACAAGACAAAAAAATGAAGAAAAAAACGTGATGAAAAGAAAGAAAGGAAAAACAAGTCGATAAAAGGAAGAAAAAACAAAACGAAAAAAGGAAGAAAAAACGAGACGAAAAGAAAAGAAGAAGAAACAAGATGAAAAAATGAAGAAAAAAACGTGATGAAAAGAAAGGAAGGAAAAACAAGTCGATAAAAGGAAGAAAAAACAAAACGAAAAAAGAAGAAAAAACGAGACGAAAAGAAAAGAAGAAGAAACAAGACAAAAAAATGAAGAAAAAAACGTGATGAAAAGAAAGGAAGGAAAAACAAGTCGATAAAAGGAGGAAAAAACAAAACGAAAAAAAGGAAGAAAATCGAGACGAAAAGAAAGGAAGAAGAAACAAGACGAAAAAAGGAAGAAAAAAACGAGATGAAAAGAAAGAAAGGAAAAACAAGTCGAAAAAAAGGAAGAAAAAACAAAACGAAAAAAAGGAAGAAAAACGAGACGAAAAGAAAGGAAGAAGAAACAAGACGAAAAAATGAAGAAAAAACAAGATGAAAAGAAAGAAAGGAAAAACAAGTCGAAGAAAAGGAAGAAAAAACAAAACGAAAAAAAGGAAAAAAACGAGACGAAAAGAAAAGAAGAAGAAACAAGATGAAAAAAGGAAGAAAAAACGAGACGAAAATAAAGGAAGGAAAAAACGAAAAGAAAAAGAAGACTAAAACAAAGGAAGGAAAAAAGAAGACAAAAAGAAAAGAAGAAAAACGAGACGTTAAGAAAGGAAGAAAATACGAAGAAAAGGAAGAAATAACGAGACGAAAAGAAAGGAAGAAGAAAGAAGACGAAAAAAGGAAGAAAAAACGAGATGAAAAGAAAGAAAAGAAAAACAAGTCGAAAAAAGGAAGAAAAAACAAAACGAAAAAAGGAAGAAAAACGAGACGAAACGAAAGGAAGAAGAAACAAGACGGAAAAAGGACGAAAAAAACGAGATGAAAAGAAAGGAAAAACAAGTCTAAAAAAAGGAAGAAAAAACAAAAGGAATAAAAGGAAGAAAAAACGAGGCGAAAAGAAAAGAAGAAGAAACAAGATAAAAAAAATGAAGAAAAAAACGAGGCGAAAATAAAGGAAGAAAAAAACGAAAAGAAAATGAAGACTAAAACAAATTGAAGAAAAAAAGAAGACGAAAAGAAATGAAGGAAAAACGAGACGTTAAGAAAGGAAGAAAATACGAAGAAATTGAAGAAAAATCGTGACGAAAAGAAAGGAAGAAGAAACAATTCGAAAAAAAAGAAGAAAAAAACGAGACAAAAATAAAGGATGAAAAAGAATACGGAAAACGAAAGAAAAAAAAACGAGACGAAATGAATGGATGAAAAACAAGAGGAAAAGAAATGAATAAGAATGGAACGTCAGGAAGAAGAAAGTTTGAGAAAAAGCTCACTTAAAGTAAAAGATTGGAAGACAAATAATGTGGAAGGAAATTAAAATTAAATAAAAATGTAACATAAAGAAAACCAGGAAAGGAAAAATAATAACAAAGAACATAGAGAAAAAAGTAAGAAAGGATACGGTCGGAAGAAAAGGCGTGTTTGTATTGGAGAGGTACAATAGAAAAAAAAAAGAAATTAATTTAGTGATGAAAAGATTATAGAGCGAGAAGTCAGACAGAAAAGAAAAAGATGGAACAGGAAAAAGTCGAAAAAAAAAAAAAAAAAAAAAAGCCGAAGGAAAGAAAAGGAAAGAAATACAGGAAGTTTTCATTGTGTTCGTAATTGAATGTTTTGGGAAATTTTAAGAGAATGGAGCAATTGTAGACGGCAAGCGAGGATTAATTAATTATTGTGTGCTTAACTAATGCAGCTTACTGTCAATACAACTTTTTGATTTTGCTTGGTAAACACCTGTTTATAGAGCAGTGTATATGGTGAGTAATGAACAGACACTCCTCTCTTAACGACCTAAGCGTGCAGGTCGCTAAGTGAGAAGTTCTACTTGGCCGCAACTTCAGGCACATTAAACATGTAATGGATTTGAGTCAACTAATTCCAGATAGTTTTACTGTCACTGTTGTACCATTTGTAAACTTTCTAATTTAAATCTAAACGTTTATACACTATAACAGTGTAAGAAACAGGAAAATATTGTTAAAACCAAATAAAAGACTACTAATCAGTTACACAATACCAGTCCTCCAATATGGCAGTGGATGCTAGACAATGTCAACAGAGATGAAGAAGAGACTTGAGATAGCATAAATAAGGATCTACAGGAGGAGGATGAGAATACCACGCACTGATATCAACAAAAATATACACAAATAATTTTAGATTTTAGTAGATTACCTGATACAATACATTATACGTAAAAAACACAAAGCAAAACAACAACAAAAAACAAACTTCAGACTTTCTAGATGAGGTTATTAGCACGGAGATTGAACCGAATATGTGAGCAACGACAAAGGCTTAGAGAAAATAGAAACAAAAAGGAAATTTTAAATTTCTAGGGCACATAATGAGGAAAGAGTGCTTGGAAAATTTGACACTCACAGGATATTATTGAAGGCAATGGGGAGAAGGAAAACAGAGCATGACTTAACAAGCTTGTGCAAATGGTTGGATAACAGGGTTCACAACAGATAGATAAACGAAAACATTTAATAAGAGCTACAAAGGACAAGAAATCGTGAAGAGCCATGATTGCCAACGTTTTGGGGAGATAAGACACTTAGAAGAAGCATAAGGAACTGTAAACGTAATAGACAAAAACAAAAATCAGCTATCCAGTATTTTGTTTCGGTTTGCTTACTGTAAGCAGAGGTCATCCTGTACATTAATACAATTTGCCAACTATAAGTAGAGTAATATCCTCAACATTATTTCAGTTTGCCTACTATAAATATAGTACATTGTGTACATTACTGCGGTTTGCCTAGTTTATATAGAGAACATCCTATTCATTACTTCGTTTTGCCTACTGTGATTAGAGTACACCCTGTACATTACATCGTTTTGCTCACTATAAATAGAGTACTTCCTGAATATTATTTCGATTTGCCTACTATAAGTAGAGTACATCCTGTACATTAATTTTTGCCTACTCTAGCAGTGCACACACCTTTACATTCCTTCTGTTTGCCTGACTACACCCTGCTCTTTACTTCGGTTTGCCTATTGTAGATAGAGTACATCCTGTACATTACTTTGGGTTGTCTACTGTAAATAGAGTACAACCTGTACATTATTTTGGGTTTATTTTAATGGGAGTGAGTCAGTAGTTCACTTTTGAACAGACTGATCGGTTCAACTCTCTGTCTCCGGACGGATAGGAACCCGAAGGAGGCTACGCCGAAGAGCGGAGTCTCCTTCGGGGAGGTAAAACCGGCCCTGAACCCGTTGATGCGGGTTCAAACGGGCATATTTTTGGGCCGAGCCCACGGGCTCGGGAATCCCACAATAAAAAACCGACCTTGTGTCACATGTTGCCCCAGTAGGGGGGAGACTCAATATCGTGAGACCGAGCAGCCGCAGAGAAGTGCTCTCGAGAAGTTGAGCGTCAGACATTCTAATGGAGGTCAGGGAAGGATCTCTGTGGTGATTAATAGAGAGCAGTTTTGTTTTTGAGGTATTAAAAACAATTATTTCTCTCCCTAAGTTACAGATGACGAAACGAGACCCAATGGAGAAATTTACTAAACCAAAACATCCGGCAGCCGAAACCACAATTAATTTTGAAATAGATGACAGTAATGTAAATGAAACCGAAGTATTACAAAGAAAAATAATTCGAACTAGCTTTACTCTAAAATATGACTTCTCATGCATTAAATTCGGTTTTGTAGCCACACATGATGGGGGAATCCAAAAACCACAGTATGTAATTTGTGGAGAAGTGTTGGCTAACGAGACAATGAAGCCATCAAATCTCAAGAGACATTTAAATAGTAAACATGAAGGCATGAGTTCAAAGCCAAATGAGTCCTTTGAAAGAAAGCGTGTTGATTTGAAAGGCCGTCAGAACCAGATATTTGAAGTGGCACACATAAATACTTGCGCTTTGAGAGCTTCTTATAAAGTAACACTTCGAGTTACCAAGGCTAAAATGTCATACACAATCGGTGAGATACTAGTGATAGACTGTTGTAAAGATGTCTGTACAGAAATGGTGGGCGGCAAAGTGGCTAAGGTACCCCTTTCAAATGATACTATCGCTCGACGAATTCACGATATGGAAGATCAACTCATAGAACAAATTAGCAAAGTATTTTGCTTTGCAGATTGATGAATGTACAGTCTTAGCTAATCAAGTAATTCTAAAGGTGTATGTACGCTTTGAACATGAAGCTGAGTTGAAGGAGGAGTTTTTTCCTCTGCTCTCACTACCCACAAAAACAACTAGTTCTGAACAGTTCAACACTCTGAGCGACTACATCGTTAACAAATGTGGATTGGATTTCAAGTTTTGTGTAGGCGTGTATTCTGGTGGCAATGATAGAATGACATTCGGGACTGATTACTCAGATTAAGGCGCATGTCCCAGAAGGCAATTCGACGCACTGCTTCCGAGAAAGACTTTCACCCCCCCAAAAAAAAGTCCACAGATCTAAACAATGTAATCAGCGAAATTGTAAGAATTGTGAACCATGTAAAAGCGGATGCTTTAAATTCGAGACTATTCACTGCATTATGTGATAATATGGGGGCTGAACACACACAGCTCCTCTTGCACGTCGATGTACGTCAGTCGAGGTACCTTTTGAATCGAACTCACTAGTTAGTAATAATGGTCAACCATACTAAACTCACTGACCACTATCTCCCACCGAGATACCTTTTGGATCGAACTCACTTGTCAGCAATAATTGTCATACTTAATAGCCCCAATAACCATTATCCCTCCGCCAAGTAAGTTTTGGATCGAACTCACTAGTCAGTAATAATAATTAACTATACTAGCCTCACTAATTGTTATCCTACGCCGAAGCGCTTTTGGAAGAAAGAGAAAGCGAGACGGAAAGGAAGTAAGAAATAAAACGATGAATGAAAATCTCATGAAAGAGCTCAGAAGTGTGTATAAAAAATGGCGTAAGCTGTAATGGCGGCTGAACGAACGAATAAAATAGATTTGTCTGGCTATTCTCTCGGATTCCGAGCAAATGCCTGGTTTCTCTTGTAAGCTACTAATTGTTCAACTGCTGTGTTTTATTCCCATTGACATTACTTTCACTATCAAACCATTTTCCCAGGTCCGACCACGCAATATCGTATCTATGTTTCTGGCATCTTATGTCAAACTAAATGAAAGATCTAAAACTTATTTCCATATTGTGTACAGCTGTTCCACCCGACTTGCTCTAATTTACTAAAGCCAATCTGACAAATCAATAAAGAGTCTATCATTGGATTAGGTCTTTATGACTGAGTTTTTCTACCATTTGTCAGTTTTGTCAGTTTTAGCTGATGGCTTTACAGTTGTTCGCGCCTATTAACAGCTTAAGGCTCTAGTTTTAACATACCGAGGCGCACAAAGGTCAAGTACGACGCTGGATAACGTTCCTGTTGAAGATGATATAATAAAGGCGTTAGGAAACGACGTATAATCAGGCCAATATTAATAAAGGATTATAAGAAGCTAATATACTTTAACATTACGGGGGTTTTGTTCTTTCTTATCCAAAGAGTGATTGTATAACATCGGATTGGTGCGTAATTATCGGGCGTTTTTTAAACAATATTTATTATGAAAAGAGAAACATAACAAATCAACGATAACATTTTTAAATGATTATTCCGGAATGTATGATTATCGACACGCATTTTTATAACCTGAAAATAAAATATTTTTTATTAGAAACAGCAATTTTTATTAACAAATAACGCCTACAACAACGCCTGATAATTATGCACCAGCCAATAGCGATTTTCCAAGCGTAGCTTAAATTTGGCACAAGGCCGAATGTAAGGGGCAACCAATGAGGACTGAACTCACTACTCAGTCGTAATTGGTTCTAGCGAGAAAAGCTTGCTAACCATTACGCTACCTCGAGGTGCTCAATACCTTCCACATAGTGTTTTTCCAAGCGTAGCTTAGATGTGGCACAAGACCGAAGGTAGGGGGAACCCAGTGAGGATCGAACTCACTGCTCAGTCGTAATTGTTCTAGCGAGACTGCACCAGCCCAATAGATATACTAACGGCTTCTTACTAACTTTCACGAAGTATAAAAAAGAATAGGAAAATATATGTTCTGATTAAAGGTATTTTGTTTCCATAAATAATCGTTTGGATGTCTTGTCTTGCACTGAATCAGACATTAAAAGATTTCTTCTGACTCTTTATTAAAGTGCCATATGTTTTCGATTCAATAGATATCCAGATCTCTAGATATTTTAAACATGAATCCATCTTTTTTTCTCTCCACGTATGGGTTAAATTCTTTCAAGACATGATTGATGCTTGCTTACTAGAAATTACCAAGTGCGTATACTGAAAAATTGTGTTAAACCGAAATTCAGATTCCATGGTAAGTATCCAGAAACAACTGACTATCTTGTATCAGGTTGCACGTTATTAACACCTACTGTATATAAAAATCGACATGGCAAATATCTGTAAATTTTACGGGAAAGAAATTGCAAGAAGCTGGTATGGACATCACCTAGACTCGTTATCTAGCCACCTCCCCCACGAGGGTTGCATGTGGCACAAGGCCGAGTTTTTTCGTGGGTTTCCCGAGCCCGTAGGCTCGGCCAAAAAATGCCCGTAGAACCCGTATAAACGGGATCGGGTTGGTCAACCTCCCCGAACGAGACTCTGCCCTTCGGCGGAATCTCGTCCGGGTTCCTCTCTGCTCAGAGGCAGAGAGTTCGACCGTCAAGCTGAGAAGCTCGGCTTGATTTGATTACCTAGACTCGGTTACAGACAGGACCTATAACAATTTTATGGGACTTTACAATACACACAGACAGAACAATTAACAGGAAATCGTTCAGAAATTATGGTTTTCAAAAACTATCAAAAAAATGTATCGTGAAGTGGAAATCTAAAAAAAAATGTGGTACATGAGGACATCAATAATTCAGGTAGTAGACAACCCTCGCATTGATAGGAAAATGTCCCGATAGAATCATTGAGCAGATCCGTGATAGTCCATGCTTTAAAAAAAAAAGGCAAAAAATGTACTCACAAATACAGGTCAGACATTAAGAAGAGCTTTATTTATATAAAATATGTGTGATCTTAGATTGTCTTTGTTTTTTTTTACAAAAACGCTCAGTGGAAAATGTCGTGATGCCATTTCTAACCTTTGGTCTCTGATTAGGACCTGGAAGGAGATTAGTATACAGATGTATGTGCTAATGCTACATCAGAAATTACCCTCATTGTTTCTAATCTTAATTCATTGGGGTGGGGGTGTTAACATCTACACGTTTTGTTCTGACGAATTAAGATGTGCTATAGTAAATATCCTGTTCAGCACGACAGATTTGCTTGTCAATTGACCGACCAAAACCAGTTGCGCATCTCACTTCGAGGTTGGCGCATGTTGCACCTCTGTTCATGAGCAGGAGTAGTTGGGAAGAATAATTTGCCAGGTGGCAAGAGGAATTTTTTTAATGTTTTAATGATGAAGTAGTCCAGGTGAGAGTTGCATCTAGATACATAATGAGACAGTCTGAGCGAAATGGGGTACACGACATAAAGGTATATCGAACTCGGTCTCACCTGAAAGTTTATGCGCTGCTCCTATCAATGCTTGCCAGTATATTGCGCACATATGGCTGCAATTCACGTGTCCGGTATACCTTTATCAGACCGGGGTCATGATGGGTAGATTAGTGTTATAATTTATACACTCGCGTCTCTTTGATGGCGTACTCCTCTTCCACTAATAGTAGTAATATGATAACATTAAGAATTAATTATAGTTATGTGTAAGTCGTGAAGTATTTGTGAAATATGACAACGACATTCGGCTTCTTTATAATCAGAGAAGTGTTTTTTTTTTCCAAAGAGCCAGGTAAAGACATTGCAGTATTTTCCGTTCTTGGAGATCCCGTGCCACGCTTAACCTAATTTACGGGGAACTAAGACCAATCTCTCTTAAGATCAAACAAAAGCCATTGCAGTTTGCCGGTCACTGCCAACGAGCGAACGTGGAGGTGTCCCATTCTTATTTTTATGGCATCCTTCTGGGGGTGTCTTCTCACGAATGTTGACTTTCCCAGACATCATGGCTCGGGACTCAGGCTTGGATATTGGGGAACTAGGCACGGCAATACAGGGCCGAGCAGAGTGGAAAAAGATTGTTAATGAAATTTCGACCAACTGCAGGGGGGGGGTCGAAGGAAGATGATGATGAGGATGATGATATTCGCGCTCAATGTATTTCACTGCATGCATGTAACAAACTTCTCACAATTTGGCACTTAAACCTTCCATCCTATTTAAAAGTCTAAACCTTTCAAACACTGATTGAACCAGTCCTACTGTATAGATCAGAAACTTGGACATTATATCTGTTCATCTTGAAAGACCAGTGGGGGCAACATATACAAATCTGCTTAGAAAAATCTAGAACATCAATTATAGATCTCATGTAATGCTTAACGCAATCTACAGAGAACTGAGACCAATCTCTCTTAAGTTCAAACAAAAGTGATCGCGATTTCCCGGCCACTGCCACCAAGCGGACGGGAAAGTCGTTTCATCCTTACTTCTATGGCATCCTTCTGGAGGTGTCTCCTCGCGAAATTTAACTTTCCCAGACACCATGGCTCGGGACTCAGGGTTGGACATTAGGGATCTGGGGACAGCAATGCAGAACCAAGCAGAGTGTAAAGGGATTTGCGACCAGCCCCAGGGAGGTTTAAGGACGATGATGATTTTCATTTCAGTTTTGTAATCAACGTATTCCGAAACATTACATATTAATATATTCGAAGGAGGGAAATACACACATAACCAACTCTGCCATATTGCTGCGAATCCTGGGTCCCATATCATCGGCATTTGTGATCTTTTGAACGATTCCACGTGCCATGCCTACAAATAATACTCAGGATACACAGGTGGGAATAAAATATTATATATCAGAAGTATTCAGAACTCATGACTATTAAATACATACTCGAATATCGACAGTTACGCCGGGTTTGCCAACTTCATCCGCCTGCCGTAGAACACATTCCTACGAACTGTGGTGTGGTCAGTAGAATATAGAGCCATTCTGAAAACTTGTGATATATTTCCGTAGCCAATTAGAAAAGTTAGAAAAGGGGACAGTTGAACGTTGTTCAAACTACACAATTAGTCCAGTAGTTTGTGGAACACCGTCGAGGACATCGGAGGCAGAATCCTTCCTTTGATGGAATTCATTTTTTTTCAGGTGACTTACTTGCGGAAAACATGTGGCATCACTTCTGTAGCAGTGAATGCTGGGTAATTTACTCACCCAAGGGACATTCAAATCGAGATATGTGAGTCTACAAAGCGAGTCTGACAATAATAAAGTCGGAAGATGGGAGCAACGA